GATTAGTAAGACCATAGGAAGCAACCGCACAAATAACATTTAATTTATTTGTTTATATAAAATGCGTAAATATGCCAAATGCATTTGGCCAACTGCTGGTAGCCAGACTTAGAATGGAGTTGAAGGCATGTCGGCAGTTCAGTTGGCCTCCTGCTTAGTCTCAGTCTCGAGTCTGGAAGCCAACAGAGTGAATAACCGCATGGCAACTCGGTTGTTGTTAGCACTGTTTAAATATTTGAAAATCCATTAAGCATATTGACAATGTCGATGTGTGTTTGTGTATCTGAATCTGGAACTGGCTGCCAGCGAATTTGAATTTGAATTTGAATATGGGGTCGCTTTCAGGTTTTTCTTTTCCAGCTCCAGTTGTGCCTGAATGGATCATTAGTGCAGCTAATGGCGCAGTCAATAAATGGCGGTCCCACGGCCACGCCCACAATTCCAATTTGAATATGAATCGAAGGGAGGAGGGCGAGATGTGAATGTGGCACAGTAGAAACCACAGCCGCCGGCATTTCCGGCCAGTCGGAGGCGGCGCCACGGCAAGACATAAAACGGATTTATTAGGTCATTGCTGTTGGGTAAATTCTCTCGATTCTGTGTGGATTTTCTGTGGCTGAATGTGTGCTGCGTAAGCACTGGATAGATAACAAACTCAGCTGACTCTCATTATTCTAACAATTGTTGGCAAAATGTGAAAACCAACTTGCTGACAACGAAATCTTATTTGTAAATTGAAAAGGCCCCTGCGAGGCGACACAACATTCCAGATTAAGTGACGTCATGGGTAATACGCGATTTCAATAATAACAAATCAAACGGACAGAATCAGCATATCCTGCTAAATACTTGACATATTGAGCAGAATAATTTATAATTTCGGAATTAACTTTAATTTTTATCTTTTCTGGTCGAATTTTCATCCGGATTTAATTGAGAAATAAAATAACGTTTATTTAAATTAAATTTAAATTAAAATATTATAATTGCATTTTTAATCTTAAGTACAGTTGTATGCTAATTTTTCTTTTGGAAACCATTCACTTTTTTGACAAAATTTACTCTTTGAACAATAACTGTTAATAAAATTAAAAACAAATAATGTTAAGTAATTTACAAATCGCTACAAAGTGGAGTAAAGCATTTTATCAATTACTACATCTGCTTGTTTTATTTATAGCAGACCTTATAACCTTTGTCCTTATTTTTTCGCAGTATCAGGAGATTGTTAAATGCAGTGAGGCATTTGTAAGCCAGTAAATAAAATATATAAATATAAATATGCACTTTATTTTATTTCAATTTAAAGTTTTTAATGAGTTTTTCATTCTGCGCTAATGCCTCCGCACGTAAGCTGAATAACTTTGCATGTGTGTTGGTTTGGCGGCTGCAGAGAGGTTAAAGTAGGGGCATGGGAGTTGGGGGCGGGGGCATGGTCCACCAACTCGATTTGTGGCATACCAGCTTATTTATTTGCCAGTGTTATTCAATTTTAGCGCAGATTTTAACAAACTTAAATGCACTTTTTGAATATGAAACTCATTTTAATTGTATGTATGTATGTATTTGTTATTATCGATGAACATAAATCTGCAGCGAGATTCTGCTAATGGAATATTACAGCTCTAAGCATATTTTATAATATTTGCCAGTGCATTAAATGGCAATCGCTGGATAATCTACATAAAAATCAGTGCTGAACAAAAATTCAAAATTAATAATAACAATTTTATATTCAACACACACACTCAAATGGGAAACGCGAATTGGACACAAAATATCGGTAATTAAATATTAAAAAAGAAAATTTGTTTAATCTGCAATTTTCGGAAAATATAAAAAAAAAGCTATATTGAGGAGAGTGACAGTTAAACTAAAAATTAATATAAAATGGGAAATTGCTGAGCGTAGTAATTTGTGTGGAGGCGAAAACATTTTTCCCAAAATATTAGAAATTTATAAAATATTCTTCAAGGGGCTTATAAGTTAAATACCCAGGTAAAAAAAATGTTTGCTAAAGTCTACACAGACGTACCTAATGGAAATGGCTAACAAAGGACAACAATGCGCCAAAGTAGCAATAAATGGGCATCAGTCAACTCGGTGACTGAATGCCAGGATGACCATCGTCCAATTGTTGTCCGCTGACAGCTTTTAAAGCCGCTGCAGTAGCTGAAGCGGTATCTGAAACGGTAGTTGAAGCCAACCCGCTGAGAGGCATATCGATGTAGAAGCGAAGTCTGACATTAATGAGCATTGTGAAATGTTGCTCCTCAATTTGGCTGTCACTCAAAACAAATCCTGTGATGCCCATTGTGAGCGCATATTTCTCTGTGTGCCATTCGGCAATTTTGAATGCTTTGTGTAAAGTTTAATAAGGTTTTACAATTCCAAGGGAGGACTGGTTGGGGCAGGACATGCATATAAAATACTTTACAGCACTTCGATCGGTTTATGCTTATATATTATTGAACAATCTTCAATTATTTGGCGAACCACACTTAATGCATTAAGCATAATTATAAATTCAATAACTTTTTTCCTTTTTACTATACGAATACATTGTATTAAGCATACGACATGTTGCCCATACAATGGACTCAATTATAAATGCAATTAAATCCGAAAAAAAAAATATTTAAAATAATCTTTTTCATATGTTACAAATAAAATTGATTACAGTTATTATAATTGCTAAATGAAATGTAAAACGTAATTTGATTGCAAATGGATATTTCGTATCATATAAATGAACAAAAACGTTTTGGCAAACAATTTGTCATGGCCTTAGTAATTAATCACAAAATAATTTGGTAATTTTAATTTACTGCTTCGAGTAACTATAAACAGCTCATTGAACATACATGCACTAAGAGAAGAACCCTTTGAAAACGGAATCCATTCAAATAACATTTGAAAGTACAAAATTTGAGTGAGTTGCATTCAAGTTAGGCGATTGGCTTTGGCTTCGCGCTTAGTCAATTCTATTCATTTCAGTGTTTGGAATATTTACATAATCAAAGATATTTTACAAAAACGGTGGGGAACAATATATAGTTTTGTTAGTAACAAGAAATTTGCAACAATTTGCAAGCTATTATTATCAAAGTTTTTAAAAGTGACTATGTACTTAAGACAACAACAAACTCAAGCTAGTGCGAATTACTTAAAAGGTATAACAGGTTTAACAAAAGGTATAAAGGTATAACTAATAAAGTATATAACGGACAGAAGGAAAATATATTTCCTTGATCAGTATACAATCCTGATAGCTATAGCCCTCTGTATGAACATGCCGATCAAGAGATTATATGTGATAGAAAGTCCAATTTGAATACTCAGCCAATGTTGATTTCATTTTATCGATAACTTGCCTGTTCGCGAATATCGATACACATACATTTCCAATAGCAATGAAAACCACAATTTTTTACATCGATTTAGACTAATCGAAAGTTTATATCTGAACACAATATTGATGATCTATCATAAGTATCAAGTTTATATAAATTGTAGTCGTGTTTTTTTTCAGTGCACGCATATATAAATGAGCATGCACCGTTAATTAAGATTTAATGAACAGAGAACTGGCATTTCTCTCTCTCTCTCTCTCTCTCTCTGTGTCTCTCTCTCTTTGTCTCTCTGTGTATCTGTCTCTATCTCCATCTATTTCAATTCATATATTTCTCTGTCAACCACGCCACGCCCCCTCAATAGTTTAGTACACTGGCACTTGAGCCGCCCAAATTTATGTGTATTGTGTGCGTGTCTGTGTATGTTTGCGCGTAATTAGGCGACAATAAGCATTTAGTACACATTTTCTGGAACACAACTTTCATACATAATCACACACGCACACACACTATTAAACTTGGCTCCCAATTAGTTGTGGCTGTGTTTACCGCTTTAATGCCACGCCCATTAAATGCACAGGCATCGGGGCCATTGAGCATTTTGGCCAACTGCAATTTGTTAGCTAATTTAAGGCCAAACAGACCGGCAAATAAACAGCCGGCTCGTTTGGCTATTGACTATATGGTCACATCTCAGTACCGTTATCTAACTGCAATTAAAAATTATCTACGAGACGGCATCGCACACAAAATACACACAGCTGACTAACTAAACATTGTCTGTGTGTGTGTGTGTCTGTGTGGGTGTGTCTGTGTGGGTGTGTGTTTAGCATTTCTGGTTCGTTTTGCAAATTTATTTCCATTTTACTGACTCTGTGCAAAAGTTCTATCCAATTTTTTTCTCCTAGGTCTTTCAGAAGTGGGAAATTGCTTTAATCTCAAGTCTTATTCAACTTTGGCAACTAAATATTAATTATGTATTTCTTAAGGAAATTTATAATTTTGTTGTGGTTTGTTAATCATTGCAAATATCTTAATAATCTACTATTATAGAGACTCAAGTTGTAATCGTACTTCATATTGAATTGATGGTCTGCTCCACAATATGAATGTGCAATTTGTGCATTTAAAGCTCGCTTTGAGTGCCTGATGAGTATCGCCATGCTCAACTTAATCTTCTAACCAACTAATTAATTTGCTCAAAATTTGTGGCAGCAAACTTGCATCAGATTAGTAATTATGTAAGCTGCTCACACACGCACAGTAAACACACAGCTCACACACACAAACACACAGCGATGCCCATAAATCCGCGCATAAATACAAATTACAACGGGGCGAAGGGAGTTCAACACACAACGCACACACAACGACAGCAATATCAATTTACTTAGACATATGGATGGCAGTCAAAGGTTAAATAAAAGTACATGCATAATGAAACTGTTTGGAGCTCCTTGGGCTGCTTGTGGCATCATTCAATGCTCATTACTTATGTTTTATGACATCGCCTTAGTTTATGGCATCGCATTTTGATATGAAAGCCATTTAATGACACAGCCAACGCTGACCAGCAACTAATCACTGACTAACGAACTTTCATTAATCCGACTTTCCCTCCACGCCTCTCTCTCTCTCTCTTTGTAGACAATCATACGCGAGATGAATCGGCTGGGGATGATGGTGGATCTCTCGCACGTGTCCAAGGGCACCATGCGCGATGCTCTCGAGGTGAGCGAGGCACCCGTTATATTCTCCCATTCCTCGGCCTACGAGCTGTGCAACACGAGTCGCAATGTCCAGGACGATATCCTGCAGTCGCTGGCCAAAAATGGTGGCCTCGTCATGGTCAACTTCTACTCCAAGTTCTTGTCTTGTAGCGACAACTCAACCGTTCAGGATGCAGTCGGTAAGGGGATCTTAAGATTATGAACTATTATTGTATTTATTTAAAAGCATTTCTCTTATTTCTTTTTTTTATTTATTTTTAAAAAACAAAATATCATAACTAAGTATTCATTATTTATTATATTAATTATTTGATACCCCAATGAGCAGGTACCAAATTTGTTGCATTTCTAAAGCAGAAAAAATGTAGCAATTTAAAAATTTAATTTTTACTGCAGTTGTGCTCAAGTTGTGTAATTTGTGAACTCTGAAAAATCTCGTGCATTTAACATCCAAAACAATTAACGCCACTGACTTGAAGTGGTTTATGTGGCACAGCCACAAGAAATGCCAGCACCACTGATTGTCCACTGGCCATTGTTTCAGCTAGTTCGTTATTGCCTCTCGGCTTGTGCTGTCAGCTATTCTTCGTCTTCTTTTCTTCAATTTTGTTTTGTCATTGCTTTTGACACGCTCTCAAAATAGCGAACGTAATCACTTCCGCTTTCGGTGGCTGCCACACAAATCGGTGGCTTCTGCTCCATAGCCCAGACAGAAGGGTATTTGAATTTGATGAGTGAAGCAGACACACTTCAATAAATAAATATTTTTAAATATGAGATCAGAATTGAAATTGTTCTCCTAAATTTATTCAATTTAGTTTTTTCATTAAAACATTTATCTGTTTTCCACATATGCATATTAATTTTTATCATATATACTTCCATTTAATTGTATGCGTATTATTTCTGAAGAGTATTTGAGCTCTTGCACAATAAATATCACAATTTTATGCTGTTTTCCTTCTCGTCGCGTTTTTTTCGTATTTTCAAATTTATTGTGAAGTTGTCTAATGCCACATGATTTGTTTGCTTCTCTTTGCATCTTTTCATCATGGCATTGCCGCGCTGCGCTGTGGACACATTTACAATTTGCACAATTTTAATAACGATGGCTTATGGCGATGATGTCAACCATAACAATACCAACCAAACTGTGCTCTCTTAACAATGGTACTTAATGAACTTGACAACAACAACAACTACAACAACAACGATGATGATGACGATGATGACCGAATGTTGATGGCAACCCTGTCATTCGATATCCTGCTGACCAAATGCAAAATGGCCAACACACACACACATACACTTATTATTCATATACAGCGCATATTAATCACATTAAGCGCGTCGCTGGCATCGATCACGTTGGCCTCGGCGCCGGCTATGACGGCATTAATTAGTAAGTAAAAGTCATTTATTTCACTTAAATGCGCATTTTCCTCGACCACAAGCTTCAACGGTTTTCAACTGCCACCCGGCTCGCCTTCGAGTCAATAACTGAAACTGTAAAGCACTTGGCGTTTCTCTCTCTCTCTTTCACACACACCCATACACAGAGACAGAGTTCTCCCTCTCTCACTCAGTGTCTCACTCACAGTTCAGGTGGTTTTTAAGTTATTAATTGATTCTATTTAAGTACAGGAGCTTAACATTGGCATATTGCGGGTGGCAATTCATATTGAGGCTCGTTAAGGTATCCAATTCAATAGGGAGAAAAGGCTGCAGATAATTATGCTGCCGACCTCAGGGCTGATTTATTTGTTCAGCAACTTTTTGCTGTTGCATGCAACAATTAAAACCCATTTATCGTATTATTTTTATTGTAATCTTATCTTTTAAAAGCACTCCAAAACTCTTATTCTATAATATATAGCTGATTTTATAATTGTACACAACTTTGAAGCCAAGGCAATATTTCTACCAGCTGTTTTAATGAACACATTCTCTATGAAGATGATCTTTATAGCATTAAAGTTATTTTAAGCCAAGGTAAATTTTATGCTTATCGTAAAATGCACCAAGAAGTTTCTCCATATTTTTGTACACAATTCAACCGTTCAGCCCTTTACGGAAACATTATTGTAATGCCGTCCACACAACTTGTTTTGTTTGTTTGAGGACAGCATTGTTTCTGACATATTCTTATTATCGTTATCATGAATCAGAATTATTTTAGTGGAGGCCAGGCAGTGAATTTGCATACATTTTCGTGCCACTGCATTTCATGCTGGACACATGGCTAAAACAGCAAATCGACGAAAACATTGAACAACATTGAATTTCCGATCGTTATCTGTGCCTGTGCGGCAGCCTTTTCATTTGTTGCGTGTTTTTCAATTAAATATTTATACTATATTGTGTAGCGAAAAAAAATGCCGGACTTTGTTGTAATTGTTGTTGCAATGTGTTATATACAAATGAACATTTTTAACAACAATTTTCGTGTAAATCAATTTTCCATGCGAAGCGAACTTCATTTTACGCGCCGAACAAAGGGAATATTGCAAAAAAGAAAAAAAAAATAGAAAAAACGCAAAACTGAAATTGCGCTTATGAATATTTATAGGCCACTCACCCAGCAGGACATGCACATTCAGGCATACACACATACACACATACATATACATAAAGAGTGACGTACAAGTCCCGAAAATTTCACAATAAATAATGTAAAATTCTATGAAATTACAAAATGTCAAATGGTATTTTTCCGCTTTTCCCCACGTTTCCGCTTCACTCAATGACTGACATTCGACCCGTTAAACAAACAATGAACATTTGTAGCTGCATACATTTTGTTGCAACAATTTTCACTAGTTGCTGCTGCACTGACATTTGACATATTTTCACAGTTTTGCTCAGTTTATCGCATGTATTAGCCATTACTAATAAGGAATACTAACAATGCAACCACAGAAGTTACTAATTAATTATTCATGTGAACTTCTAATTGAATGTAATCTAAATGCCTTAACCGCAAATGATTGTTATTATATACCAAGTACACAAAATAATATTGAAATGCCACACAAAAAGCAAGTAGATAACTGAAATATTTTCGATTGTTTATATATTTGTGTACATAAGCAATAGCAACCGCAGAGGCAACTCAGCCAGCATTGCAACCACTACTGACATGCAACAAGGCTCAGGTCGAGAGGGAGCTCGACTAGGAGAAATAGTTAAAGTTTTCTTTAAAATTACACTAACTACAAATAGTTTCTAGTTTATAGTTATAGCGTATTATAGTGTATATATATATATATATATATATATATATATACAAATACTTTATGGAGTCGGAGATGCTTCTGCCAGCTACAAACTTTTGCTTTATTGTACATTTTTAATATATTTTCAATGGTATATAAATATAAAAACCAACTAAAGGCAAGTGACTTAAATTGATTTTATATTGGCATTTTGAAGAATGCTCGAAGTACTTTAACGAAGTAATTTATATTACATACAAAGTGTCTCAAAAGTCCGAAACTTTCGATAAAGCTGGAGCAGTTTTTGAACTACAACTAAATAGTCAGCGCATTGATTTTGAAAAGAAACCAAAATAGTTAAGCACTCTTTATATTTTTTTAAATAGCCCACATACTTTATGTACTTATAAAACTTACAAAAAATACACCCTGTATACCAAGTACGCACAGACATTAAATATTTCCATGTCATTTGAAACGTTGCCTAAACGCTGCATAATAAAAGTAAATTATTATTTATTTGTGCATTCCTTACAAGTGAGAAGCCAGAAGTATTAATTTATTATTTATTTGGTATCGTTTGGTTTGTTTGTTATTTATTTGTTTTCTGTGGCTCAGACATACATAAATTTCTGCTTTATTATCCAAACAGTTCTTGGACACATTTCTGCCTGTGGCTTTGCATTTTATTTAATTTTTATGACAATTTTTGGCATTAAGTAAATGAATTGTTTCTGAGGACAATGCTGTATGTGCGTATTTGTGGCATGTGTACGTGTGTGGAATATTTTATTGGTTATAATTTAAGGAATTTCAGCAAGTTTATTAGATTAGTTGCCCGTTTTTGACAGGATTTTCTTTTTGGGTTTTTAAAAGAAATTTGGTTACGCTCGGACGCTCAGGGAAGGGAAATAATTTCTATTAAATTCTGGTGTGAAGTCAAAAATAATTATACAACATTTAAATTTGCTGATTTGATCCAGAGTCTGGTGAGTCATGGGTATTATATATTTATATAAATGTATAAGTAAAGACTGTTTCCTTAGCTGTGGCTCATAGGTGGAAATCATATGTCCATATTGACATGAAGTTGCTTGTTTGTTTAGCTTGTTTCTTGGATCCACCTTTGATTTCTTAACCAAAAACGAAAGTATGACTTCAAATTCCCTTTCTATTTGCTTACAGTACACCCAAAGGCCTGGAGGATGTATCCTCGTATCCAACGCTATTTGCTGAACTCTTAGGAGGTGGTTGGACCATCGATGAGCTGACCAAATTGGCTGGCGGCAATTTTCTGCGCGTCATGCAACAGGTGGAGAAGATACGTGATGAAAAGAAGGCAGCTGGGATCAAGCCCTATGAAGATCATCCCAATTTTCGCACTGACGATCCATATAATTGTACTTCCAGCTAATTAAATTTAAGACATAAATTAAGACAGGTTGTACAATAGGCCAGACTTTAGTTACAGTAACTGGCGGGGCATGCAACGAAGCGATTTTGCTGCATATAAAAAATATAATAAATAAATATATATAACTATATACCTATATATAGTAGAATATTGATTAAAATGAATTGCATTCTAGTTGAGATAAGGTGGCCTAGCTATGGTTTGTATAAGCTTTAAGTATAGTTTAGACTAAGTACTAAGTATTTGGATAATTCTCTCTTGGTTCTATGTAAACCCTTCGAATTTTCGGTTATGTTTTTTGTGACAATCTACAGACTGCCAAGAAATGAGTACACCCAATTTATTTATATGCCACCTGCAAGCAGCTTAATTAACGGTTTTCTGTCAACACCCACAAGAAATTCAATTTAAATCCCAATTGCGACTTTCAACTGGACCAAACATGCTAAATAGTAAATGAACAAAAAAATCATTATCAATTATTATCATTATGTTTCCGATTTGATTGATTTAGTTTGTATGAAAAACTACATATCAAGTATGTAATAAAACTATAATTAAATAATTTTCTTAGATTAATGTTGATGCAAATATTGAAAAGTGGGAAAGCATACACTTACATTAAATAATATTCATATTATAAATATTATAAATACTATTAATATATATATACAATTATTAATAGGAAATTACTGAAGGCTTTGCGCATCTAAGGCGAGGCATTAAATAAATGTTTATTAATTAATTAGTTACACATTTTTTAAACAGTTGCGAGCAGTTGTAAAAATGCATGAATACTGAATAAATCAATAGCGTACCACACACTAAATTAGTCAGTAAGCCAAAGTAGGCGTGGCAGCCGCCTCAACTGCATGCCACAAAATTGTATATACTAAATGTAGGTTGGATTTGGTAATTCCAAATAGCTAACTTTTGTCACTCTCGAGTATTATTATAAACAAATACCTTCTCCCCCTCCCCATAAAAGAAAACCTTTAAAATAAAAGAAAACTCTGTCAGTATCTCTGTACCTTCTAAACCTACAAAGAAAAATAAAACATCTAGTCAAATGTGCGTAGTCTTTAAGTAAATAAATATATATATAATGAAATTAAATGAGCAAATTCAATAATTGTACATTTTCTATGCCAAAATATATAAAAACCGACTATTGTTACAATTTTTTATGACGTATTTTATACGATTTTTGTATGTATTTATCTGTATATAACATTTTTACCACAGTATCACACACCGTTTGGTATAATTTATGAAGACAAAAATAACAAAACCTATAGTTTTCTAGTAAAAGAATTAAATATGAATATTGAATTAAATTACAATTACATTGTACTATCTAAGTTGTTAGTCAAGCGTTAGTTCTTAGTCTAAAAATGTTTGCCTACAAGGCGAGGGCATAAAAATATCTGTAAAGTTTACACCCACATACATGCATACATGCAAATATATATATATATATACATATATATATATATAGAACATGATGCAATTTATACACAAGCTCAAACACATACATAATTACACAAATAAACCTTCGATTTGAATTCTTCAAGCGTCACTTCATAATGTGAATTTGTGGATTATTGCATATAGTGAGAACACACACACAAACACACACACATACTAATGAAATGAATATAGTGTATGTAAATCCAAATTGTAGTTAAAACTTGATAATGGGTAAAATGTTAAGCGAATAAATTTCAATAAAATGGCAAACAGAATGCAGTAAAACAAAATTTTAAAGTGTATTTTTCATTTCAAATTTAAATCGGTTGGCTGGTTTGTGTATTGGCTAAGCATGTGTATAAGCTACACACTTAACAGTAGTCTGTTATGCAGTCAATAGCAGTTTGTAAAGCACTTAACATATTTGCTCCTCACTGGACTGCATGAATATGAGGATTGCGCACTGCGCAGCTTCGTTCAAATGATAGAGGAACGTGACGTCACAGCTGCTGTAGCACATTGAAATATCTAATGAATTAATGTAATGTAATGAACTTGAAAGTCTATTTGGCCATTCAAACCTGATTGATTATCACTTTATAGCAACACAAAAAACTATTATTATCTTACTATCAAATACTTCAAAATGCTACTATAGATATTGCGCAAAGAGAGGGCAAACCGGTTACACACTCTCTCGCATGACCTTGTAGCACACTCGCCAATCTCAACTCATATTTTGTTTACATTTTCTTTTTTTTTTTGGGCTTTTCTGACATGGCGTCGGAGAAGGCGGCGCCGGAGCTGCTGGCGCTGCAACCAGAACAGAGTTCTCAGCTGGATGTGGACAACAGAAATTGGATTATCGAGCGACGGGCCGCCGCCGAGCTGAGCTACAACGAATTCTATTGGAAATACATGCGGCCCAACTGGCCCGTCATCATTACAGATGTCTCCAACAGTTGGGAGTGCCGCAATTGGGCGCAACAGAACAACAACAACGGAAGAGATGCGAACGATAATTGCTCAACTGGTGGCCACATCAATTTCGACTACCTCAGGCGTCGCATCGGCAATCTAGCCGTGCCAGTCGCCGACTGCAATGCGACCTATTTTAATAGTCACGCCAAATTGGAATTAAAATTCCACGATTTTTTAGCACGCTGGCAAAGCAACGTGCTCGATTCAAGGGTGCAGCTGGAGCCGAACTTCAATGTGAAGTTAAAGGATAATCTGTACCTCAAGGACTGGCATCTGGCTGCCCAGTTGCCGTCTTATGAGTTCTACAAGGTGCCCAAATATTTTGCATCCGACTGGCTGAACGAGCAGCTGATTGCGGAGCAGAAAGACGATTACCGATTTGTCTATATGGGACCGAAGGATTCCTGGTAAGTGGCAGCAACACTTTGGGAATAGACACAACAATATTTTCACTGCCTGCTTGCAGGACGTCCTTTCATTCGGATGTGTTTGGCTCGTTCAGCTGGTCCACCAACATAGTGGGTCACAAGAAATGGCTTATTATGCCGCCCGGCGAGGAACTCAAACTGGCCGACCGGCTGCGAAATCTGCCGTTCAGCATCGATGAGTCGCAGCTGGAGGAGCACAAGGTGCGCTATTTCACCATCAATCAGACGGCCAATGAGGCGATATTTGTGCCGAGCGGCTGGTACCATCAGGTGTGGAATATGACGGACACCATTTCCGTCAATCACAACTGGTTCAATGCTTGTAATATTGCTCGTGTCTGGAGCAATTTACTGGGCAATCTGAAGGATGTACGCAAAGAGATCGCCGACTGCCAGCAGATGGACAACTTTGAGGCACACTGCCAGACCATGTTGCGCGCCAGCTTTGGCATTAACTACCTCGATTTTATAGAGCTTTTGGAATTCATAGTTGCCCGCCGAATCGCCGCCAGGCTTAAAGACCAACAAACAACAACAACAACGACGACCAAAAACAGCCTCTTACTTTTTGATAAATATGAGATGAACGATTATCATGTGCAATACGATCTCGAGTGTGTGCAACGTCTCCTCAAGGACACAATGCTGCACGAGCCGAGTGTGCAACAGTGTCCTGCGCAGCTCAACGAACGCTGCGAACGTCTGTTGCAGCAGCTGCCAACAAACGCATAGCCTTGGCATATTTTTATACCAAAGTTGTATTCATATACAATGTAGCTTGTACGATTTTATTGTATATTGTAATTTATTTATTATGAAATGTATTGTATATGTATACACATCATACACAGACGCATACAGATACACATATATATGTAACCATAGAGTACTGGATTTATTGCCCATCCGGCCAGATAAACTCGCCCGTCACGGGCTCAGTTCTCAGCCAATAACACTGATCGATTACCTTGAAGCCCAGCGCATCGAACATTGCGTAAGATGGTTTATTCTCTGGATTGACGAGTGCCATCACATCCTGGCCCAAGGCGGCAATGCGCTTGGACATCGCCTTGGTGACCAGACTGCCAAAGCCACGTCGCTTGTGAGAACTCTTCACCTGCAGTGCGCCCAAAAAGCCGCCTTGCAGTCTACGCATATTAAAGATCAGTTTAAGTTATCTTTCTTTCGTTCAGGTTATTGTTCGGATACTAGAATGTCATATTTTCTAAGTATGCACTTCTTTAACTATGAAAAATAACTCAAAAAGAAGATTTTTAGACTGATTAATTGATGAAAATTAATGACAACTAGTTTGTTTTCAATCTAATCTAATCTATTGAGAATTGATAATTGCTAAGTGATTGATGTTCTAGTATCCGAATGACCACTCAAGTTAACTGCTTACCTGATACACCAGGCCACCAATTCCTGGCTGTTCGTTCTATATAATCCAACATTTGCGCACAAGCGAATCTGTCGTTGGATGTAGTACAAGGAACCCACATGATGATTGGGCCACTCATCATTAATCAAATCCGCATCTTTTTCACTTAGATTTGCCAACTGGAAGCCATCTGCAACTCTAAGCAAATATTAACCTCATTTTTCAAGCAAGATTTTTGAGACTTTTGCAAAACTAACTCAATTTGTAGCGCGGAGGCTTCCTTTTGTGGCATATAGTAGAGGTTTGTGACATCGTTGAAGGCCACTTTAAGATTTCTCTCCTGAACCACATTCTGAAGTGTTGTTATATATCGAGCTGGAACAGAACTGCATTTGAGACCGTTTGACCAATCAACCAAATTTAGTGCCTGCTTCAGCAGCTCCATTGAATCGCCCAGACAACCCATAAACAGCTGATAGCGATCCTAAAAGTGGCAATAGACAACATTATAAACCACGTTATCTCTTTAGACACGATGACTAACCACAATCACAAAGAGAGCTGCGTCTTTGGCTCTCTGATCGTCGGACAGTGTGTAGGCTTTAACATTGCGAATGTGCGGGTCAAACTTGAGAAATCCTATAAAATTATCAAGGCAATAGAATTCAGCACAATATTTGGGCCATTGTTGTGTGTAAAGTTGCTGAAATCCTTGTAGCTCCTCAAGGCCAACTGCTTGCAGCTCAGGCGCCATTCCATAAACGTTCACTCAGCGAGACAAACTGAGCTGTATTCAAACATAGGTGCTCTTTATATGAAAGATTTGTAAAATACAATGAGAAAGAGAGAGCAAAGAGAGGGAGAGAGAAAGAGAGCAACACGATGAGCGTGAGATCATCTAATCTTTGAGAGCTTTCTTGACAGACTTCATTTGCTGCTTACTACAGAAACAGACAAATTAGTAAAATCGTTTGTCGCTTGTCAGTTAGTGAATTATAGTTTTGATATCGCTTCTAGTCTCTCAGTGTATAAGCGAGTATTTACCGAGATAAGCTTATTGAGTGGCTTTAGTTTGTGTTCATCGGTTATTCTTATCGAGTATTTTACATCATTAAACAATTAACTAATTGATGTATTTACAGCGGTTTTGTTCAAATTTTTAATTGTGTATGAATTATAAACAATGTACAAATGAATAAATGTTTATATTATATATAGTGAGCATATTTTACTCAGTTGCTCATAAATATACATAAATATTCCAGAAATTATTGTCCATCTGGCCAGGTGAAATCGCCGTTCTCAGGCTGAATGTTCAGCCAGTGGCAATGGTCAATCATCCGAAACCCGAACTTATCAAATATGCGCACAGATGCCAGATTCCCGGGATAGATCTCAGCGATGATATCATCACCCAACTCAGCGATGCGTTGCGAAAGTGCCTGAACTATGAGGCTGCCAAAACCACGTCGCTGGTGCGTCTGCTTCACCTGCAAAACGGTCAGAAGACCATCTTGGTCTCTACAAAAGATGTAATTTAAAGTTAATTGGTTTAATTATTCAGTTTGAAGAACACATCAGACCTGATGCACCATGCGACCAGTTCGTGGGTTTCATTGTCGTATAATCCCATGCTGGGACAGAGGCGTATTTGCCTTTGGATAAAGTAGAGGGAACCCTCCTGGTTATATGACCATTCCTGATTGATCAGATGTGCATCCCGTTCAGTTAATGATTGCAGATAGAAACCAGTTGGACATCTGTTAAAAAAGTTAATATCGAATAAATTTGGCGATCAATCCATGTGGGTGGATCAATAACCTACTTGACTTGGAGCTGCTGCTGAGCGTGCTTCGCTGGCAAATGATAAAGATGGGACCGATGATGATAGTCAACTGTTAATCCCTTCTGCTGCACCACTTTGAAAACAGTTGACATATAACGATCTGGGATTGTTGAGCAGAGCAGACCCTTTGACCAATCTAGCAAATTTAGAGCCAGCTCCAACAAATTCAAGCATTCGCCCAGGCAGCCCACAAACAGCTGATACCGATCCTTGAATTAAAGTTCAAGTTAGCGAGCTTCCACTGTACTATTGCAGCATAAGCTAATCGTGTACCTACCACGATCAGAAAGAGTCCCAGCTCTTTAGCACGCTGATCCCTTAAAGTGTATACATTCAAATGCTTCATTTCCGGCTCGATTTTGAGAAACGCAATGAAATTCTTTAGAATATAAAATTCCTGACAATGCTTGGGTAAATCCCTCCTGTACAGTGCCTGCAGATTGCGCAGTCCTTGCAGATCCACCGATTGCAATTTCGCTGACTCGGCCATATTTGATGATGAGATGCCACTAAACAACTGCGACTTGGTTGTTTCCTCTTATATGGCAGTTACTTTCTCGCTTCTTGAATAATAATAATCTGAAATCTTTATCTAAATATACATATATAGATAAGGGATATCATTTCTCTGGCTCGTCTGCTCATTTACTCATTTGCCGGCCATTTTATGGAGCCATCTGCTCTTGGCAAACACATGCTCCAGAAATAATGCTCGTCGCTTAGCAACTCAAAGTCCAGTTTATCGAATACCCTACAAGCAGTTGGATTTTGTATATTAACTAAAGCTGTGACATCCTGGTTCAAGTCGCATGCTATGTCTTTTGATATGGCAGCGACTATTAGCATTCCAAATCCGCGACGTTGATGTGTGGGAAGCACCTCCAGAGCGCCCAGGAAACCGCTTTGTAGTCTGTTAAACAAAGATGTGGCAACAAGGATGAATAAGTAAAAACTTTCTGTTCTTTCTTCATTATTTTTATAACCAACCTTAAGCACCAGGCGCATAGCTGATCCGTTTTCTGTTCGTAGAGTCCCACACTAGTGTTATTTTCAATCAGCAGCTGGATCAGCTTCAAGGAGCCAGGATGACGCGCTGACCAGCGATCGTTGATCAGATCGGCGTGCTCCAATCGCACGCTGTCCAAGTAATACCCAAATGGACAGTTAATCTGCAGTTCATTGGCCTTCTCGCAGGGCAGGCGATACATAATGGTCTTCATTTCACGTTCTAAACATAGGCCACGTTCCACTTGAAACTCCTTGTAGATGCTGTGATGTGTCTGGTGTAAGGCGCTGACCTTATAGCCAACTGTCCAGTTCAGCAATCCCAATGCTGACCGCAATTCAGGCGTCCTTTGCCTGCTCAAATTGCTGAAGAACAGTTGATAGCGATGCTAAATAGTTGGAATAGTTAGGTGAATTATATAAAGAGCTGCCTAAGACGTAAGAGATTTGTATCTGTAATAAAATCCATTAAATGAATCTTTAGAAATTCAAATACAAACCACCAAGATAAAGAGTCCATCCCGACGCCAGTCTCCGTTTAGTGTGTAGAATTTGAGATGCTTCAGCTGCGGTTCTTTGGCCAGCCAGTGCACATAGTTGTCCAACCAGAAGTGGCCAACACAGTGTTTGGGCCATTCTTGTTCGTAAAGTTCTCGGAGCGCCTTTAGATCAGCTGTTTCAGTTATCGTTGTTAGCTGCGCTGTCATTTTTAGTGCTGTGCAAAGAAAATAAATGTTATTTGCTGAATTAAATCCATTGTTGATAGTCGCTGTATTCATGTTTCGCATAATCGCCAGAGTGGTAAATGTTTCGGCATTATTTACTTTGGTTTATTGATCGTTGTTTAACTAATCTTTTGCCCTTTCGTCGATCAGCTGCAGATCAACTGTTAACTGTTAACAGCTTGTTGAAATGTAATTAACAGCGAGCAGGTCCACATATAATTTGAATGAAATATGCGAAAATAATTGGGAATTCATTAAAATGTGAACTTTGTAATTTGTATTCGAAATCTTTTACAATTTTCAAAATGTTATCTTGTGCAGTTTCAATGTACTGCAGCCAACTTCACGCTACGCAGCTTTTACTCTCACCTGGCAACCATTTCACCTAGATGGCGCCACTTCGCAGTACATTCAGTTCGTCTACTACACACTAGATGGCCGAGGCTAAACATTAAAAATAAGACTGTTTTTTTTTTAGTAAATTTCAAAAAACTTGTAACTTTTTATTTAAACAGTGGGCGCTTGTTGCTGTCATTTTACGTACATGTCTCGAGTGTCGCTTTCGTGTATATACAAAAAATACCAATGCTTAAATTACTACGTACATATAAAATCGATATAGTACAATTGCCAATTGTCTTGTTTTTTTTTGTTTTTTTTTGTTTGTACAATTCGTTATACACAGATTAACATTTAACATATAAAAATTACAAATTACAAAATATAAAATATATATTTACAGCTAAACAAGTATATATATATATATATATATGTATATATATATGTGTATATGTTTATACGATCTGCAAATAGTTTTTTTTTTGTGTTGCCATTTAGGAAATTGTGTTTGTTTTTTTCTTTTTTAATACTCTTGCAGAGGATAATATACAAGGTATATTAGCTATTGCATAAAGCATAGTCTGTCTAGCCAACTATGTGAACTCGGTCAGTATTGAAGCCACTTTGCTGAAGCTTGGAACATATATCTTTAATTGGTGCAGGTTAAAAATCAAGTCAAGTTTTATATTGCTCCCAACATTTATCAACATCGGACAACTATATTAAATACTATCAAAATTTAGACTGCTTTTAGGTTAATTACTTGCTGCAAGAGTACGACAAATTCGGCATGCCGAAGATCGATTTTCTTTCTTGTTTTTTGCTTTTCTTGTAGTTCAGGATTTGGGATTTTAGGGTTCCTGCTTGACCGTTAGCTTTTCGGCTGCTTTTGTTGCTGGTGTTGATGCTGTTGCTGTTGTGGGAAATAGTTTGGAGGCGAGCGTTTGTTTCAATTGCTGTATGGACTTGGATTCCTCCGACTCCTCATCCGCCTCGTCCTGTTGCTCCTGTTCTGCCTGCAGTCGCTTCAGCTCCAGCGCCAGCGCTTCCGCTGACTCCGATGATTGCGTGGGCGTATGCGAGGATGTGGGCGTGTCTGAGGCTGAGCAGCTCGATGATGCAGAGCTGCGTGATTGCGTTGCCAAAGGCAGTGACTGTAGTTGTTGTTGTTTTTGTTGTTGTTGTTGCTGTTGATGTTGCTGATGCTGCTGCTGCTGCTGCTGTTCTTGTTGCTGCTGCTGTTGCTGCTGCTGCTGCTGCTGCTGCGTGACCTTGCCCATAAATGAGCGTATCTCCTCGAAATAGGACTCCTCGCTGGGATTCTCACAGAAGCGTCTTATGCAATGCATCCGCTCGCTTACCCCGCTCAGCGCGCTCAGCGACACCGCATCCGATTCGTGCTTCTTGAGATGGCGATCGAGATTCGTTTGCTGGCCAAAGCAGCGTTCGCAGATCTCACACTTGAAGGGTCGCTCCTTGTTGTGGATGTTGCGCACATGACGCTGCAGATTCGAGGAGATGCTAAAGGAACGTTCGCAGTATTTGCACTTGTACGGCTGCTCGCCCGTGTGGGTGCGCAGATGTCGCGTCAGATTCGCGGAGCGTGGAAACACCTTGCCACAAAACTTGCACGTATATCGATCCTTGTTGCGCTGCTGCTGCTGCTGCTGTTGCTGTTGCTGCTGCGGCGCCAATGGATTGCTGCTGGCAATTGCTGTGGGCGTTTGTCGCTGCTTGGCTTTGCGTCGCGTCTGAAACTCCTGGAGTTGGGGATGTGGCTCCAGCTTCGGTTCGTTGCTGTTGCCCCAACAACTCAGGTCGCTCTTCTTCAGCGGATGACGAAATGGAAAATCGCTTGCTGCAACACTGGACGCTTGCGGAGGTGGAGGTGGCGGCGGCGGCGGTTGCGGTTGCGGCGCTGCTGCTTGATGGAATACATTGCGATATTGCAGTGGCAGCGTTTTACTCATTGCCTCCAGTAGCGTTGTCGCTGTGGGCGCTGGCACTGGCGCTGGGGGCGTGGCAACACCCTCACGCAATGCCCGCAACATCTTGCGACTCATATCGAAGCCCAGATCGGCCAGTGAGGCGGCTATATGATTATTGTTTAGCTCCTTCTCCTTGACACGCTGCGTGGCGAACATTATCAAATTGCTATTCTCATCCTCCAGCGGCTGTGCAGGATGCTCGTCCACATCATCCAACTGCTGCTGCTGTTGCTGCTGTTGCTGCTTCTGCTCCAGCTCCTCCGCCTCGAGCAGCTGGCGACGCTTGTGGGCCAATCGCAAATCCAACGGTTGATCGTAGCTGCTGCGTCGTTTTGCTTTATTGCCATGATGATGTTGGTGTTGTTGTTGATGTTGTTGGTGTTGTTGTTGGTGTTGGTGTTGCTGGTGTTGTTGTTGCAGTTGTCGCGCTGTTGTTGTCGTCATGCTGCTGGTCGCTGTTGCCGCCGTCGTTGAGGCGGACAGATCATAAGGTACATGTGATATATACGATGTGGGTATTAATCCTAAGGCAGGGTATACGCAGCCCTGTTTTGGGCTAGGAAGCATCTTTCTTGGTGAGTGGTCTTTCTCTCTCATAACTGTTTCAAAAACTGTTAACCCAGTTTTGTTCTTGTTGTTCTTGTTGTTCTTGTCCTTTATCGTTTCTCAGTAGTTGCTCAATTGTTGTCAGTTTTCTTCTTCTTCGATTTCTTCTACTCCAGTTATACTTATTCTTATTTGTTATTGTGGCTGCCTTCGAGTTTTAAAATTATTATAGACACGGCTTATAAACCTGAAAGAAAACATAAAAATTTAATCAATACTAATTTATGCCTGTGTATAAAGAATTGTAGTTATAATCCTAGAATTAAAAGTTATTTGATAAACAAAAAATGTTGTATGGATAATGATCAAATCCTGATATAATGATCAATTCCGCCAGGCACCGATCTATATACTGTCTTTATAGCAAACAGTCGATTACATAAAGATAGCCTTTAAGCTGAGGAACTTGAACTTGATTGCATTGAAAATGACATACAGACGAATATTGATATATCGATTCGTCTGGGTCAACAGATCAATAACATATATACACTATGGGGTCGGATTGCGTTGCAAACTTCACAGCAAAATTAGAAGTACATTGATTTTTTATATATTTTAAGACCTCAATTTATAGTGTTTACTCAAAAACCAGACAAATATTTGATGTTTTCTTTGCCTATCTTCATGTGACTAACCGCAATTCTAATATATCTCTATCTCTTTTACAAAAGATGTCAGGCTCATTATTATTATTTATATTTATTAAGATACATATGTTAAGTTTTTTTAATGCCCACATTAGCCTCAATCATAATCAATCAATCAATCAATCAATGCTCCTTTAATCGAATCTTTGTTTTTATCTATTTATCTTAACCGCTTTGATAACCATTATCTGTACTTAAAATGGCTGCTCACTAATGATATAGCTCAATTAAATAAATCTATGACATGTCACATTTATTTCAGGTTCATCATCATCATCATCATCATGATGATTATTATGTCATCCATATGCTAAATGCAGCATTTAGCGAATTCCGTTTCAGTTTCTGTGTTCTTTGAGCTGATTATAATAGATATTACAGTATCAGATAGAATTCCCACAGCTGTGCCAGTTTTGATGGCTCCGGGTAATTCCCATATACGTCATGCATTACTTTTAACCAAAGCAACAACAACAACAGCAGCAGCAACAATAGAAATAATGCCAAAATAGATAATTGCCACCTTAACAAGAACTCAATTTTCAGACGACATCTTAATTCAGTTGCCGTTTTATTTTTTATTCTTATTATTTTTCTATTTTGTTCAACTTTTTGTGTATTTTTGGCGCAATGCCAAAAGACGCCGTCACAGCCGCTACAGAAGTTTAAACAATTGTTCTATTGTGTGTCATTTTAGGACGGAAAGAAACAACAACAAGAACAACAACAAAAGGCAAAAAAAAAATACAAAATAAAAATAATAATACTAACGGTATCTAGAGTGACGATTATGTAAGACAAACAGACAAAAAACACTGACAAACATCTAAGTACACACAGCTGAGCCATAGGCTGGTTGGTGGGGCGTGTGTGTGCCTGTGTGTGAAGATGGGGGAAGGGGGGTTTAGTGGCATGTTGATGAAGTTGCCCTCGTGGAGGTCGTCACTTAAAGGTGCGTGCAAGGCAAACTGCGTAGGCTGCAGTTTAAGCCAACTCCAGTTGCCAGTTGGCAGTTGCCGGATTTTGGCCTCTTGGCAGATGGCACGCAAGTCATGTGAACCAAGCCAGCAGCAAACAGCTTAAAGATTTGCCAACAAAAGCAACACTCAACTGACAGTCTGCTGCAATCAGTGTTGCCACTTTTGCTACCTGTTCCCTCTATCAAATCTGGCTTTTTTTTACTATCATAAAAAAACATTTACATACAAATTATGATGATAACCATGCCTGAAGGACTATAATTGCTGGGGACTTTAATCAATAACTAACTCCATTTAGCGACTATCGATACAAATCGATAACCGATAGCAATAAAAGACACAATTGTAAAAATATGGTCATCCAATTGATACATAATATACTCTAACATATTGAGCAATTATAGCAATGTCATTCAGATCGGATAAGAAGCCAAACAAACTAATATAATAAATATGAATTAATATATTTAACAGGTAGCTGCAGGGTATCTCTTAGTCGAGCTGTAGCGCCTGGAACGTTTTTACATGTTTAAACTAACTTTATAAATAATCTTCTATCAAATATCTCAAATTTTACCTGCTGAAAATTCGTCAGAATTTGACTTTATGCTTTATTTATTAGTTTTTCTTCAAAATATTGACAGCTGTTTTTTTTTTTAATATTCCAGCCAAAACTAGCTTTTTTTGGGTTCTCAGCAGTTGGCAACATTGGCTGCGGCAGCTGTGGGCGGCCTATGAAGCTGCAACTGCAACAAGTTGTTGATATCTAGAACAGAATTTTTCACTAGACATTTTCCGTGGGCTGGTGCAGCATTTAGCGACTTCAACACACAATCACACACACACACACACACTCACACACACACATTGGCACAACAAATTGCCTTTTGTTGCCGTTTGGCCTAAAAGTTAATTAGCCGCATTTGCTGCTTTGATTAACTGCTTTCAGGCATTTGTATGACTTGAGTTATTTCTTCCAAAAAAAAAAATAAAAAAATTAAACTGAAAAAAAAAATAATTTGGAGCTTGAGAATTTTTGCGTTGGTTGCTTCGCTGATGACATAAGCGGATCAAGACCGCATTCAATATTAATGATTCCACTTAGAAGTGGCTACTGTTTAACTGAATATAGTACATCATTGCACTTGTATCTAACATCTTGGTGAATCAACCTCAACTATGACTAACTGAAATATTTATTGCTGATCTTGAATGCAATTCAAGCAAGGTTTGAGAAATCTTGAAAGCTAACAATCAATTTTGATTGGTCAGCTCAGCCAGACTTGCTCATCTATAATTAATATATTACAATTCATTATTTGATCTTAACTTAGCTTCATTTAGTTTAGTCAATTATAAGAAGCTGATTCTCTTGTTATTAGCACAACTTGGGCCTTTATAAGGGTGTTATTAGGAATCGAGTGGAAAACCACAAAAACATCATCAAAATGGCAATCAATTTAGAAACACAAATTTTTGATGTACTGAAAAAATCTTTCTGATTAGGTCACTATCTATTTATAATAAACCAAATTCAATCAAAAAAAGCTGTAATTTCTTGTAGAATCTGTAATTATTATTATGTTAAGAGGCAATACGCATACAGTTTATAAAGTCAGTTTTGTGCCGTATTTTATGACATGTATTGTTTGTCCATCTGCAATAATTTCTGCAATTTTTTTATCTCTACGCCCACCTTCCTTGTCGAGGCGCTTTTTATCGCAATTTCTCTAGAAATTGCACAATGCTTGGAGTCGGTGCGAGTCTCCTTCAAATGGAATTGTATATCAATGTGCTTATAATTTGTGGCTAACGTGCAAAAGTGGTTGACAATTATGGCTAACACTGGCTCGGTGGCTGGCTGGCTGGCTGGCCACTGCATCATCATTAAAAAAACGGATGCCTTAAGAAGATGATGGGGAGCGAATAAGTGCAAAAAAAAAAAAAAAATAATAATAAAAAAAAAACCAATTAAAGAGCCACAAAGTTTAAGCGGACCGACAGCAATGGTAACAGCAACAACAACAACAGCAACAGCAAAAAAGACGACAACAACGAGAGCAATGAAGCAAACAGTTCAAAAAACGGCCAGTGAAGGTACAACAACGACAACAACAATAACAACAAGCAACAGCGTCGCATGTTGCAAAGAAAAGTGAAATCAAAGTTGTAAAACCGCGAAAAACGCAGTCAGGCAGACAAACAGACAGCGACACATAACAGCAACAACGGCAACAGCAACAGCAACAACAGCAGCAACAGCAACAACAACTGCAACTGCAACTGCGCTCCAGATTGGAAAATGTCCAGTGGAAGATGTCGACAGACGACAGCAATGTTACTATCTTAGGAGCCGAACAGCTCACAACTTTATGCCCCAGCATAATCAGCCCCCACAAAAGCGATTGACAATACTTGTCAGCCAGCAACCCAGCTAGCCAGCAAGCCAACCAGCCAGATTAGCGTCGTCATGCTCAAAATGGATCACACCGGGACCCATCATCAAAATATTCAGCTAAGCAGCCACTTGAAACAGCAGCAAACATTATGATTATAATTGTTACCCTGTAGCCAAAATATGTATTAACAGAGATTAACTAACTGAAATAAGATGGTAAGTATAAATTGTGGCTGAGAAACTGAATTGATTTTGAAAATGAATTAGTTTTCTTGTATACGGCTTGAAGTGTGGAATAATATAATGTTTAAGATTACAAAATCTATCTTGCGATCGGGTTCTAATAGTTCATTGCCCAAACTTTGTCAAAACTGTGCCGATTCTTAAAACAAAGTTTCAAGTTGCAAGTTAGATTTTCACTCGAACAACTCAAATGATTTTCACAAGCAAAACTAAGACAGTTTAAAGTTCATTGTGAGTCCAGCCCAAGAGCCTAATTATAGGGCATCTATGCGTCAATCAGTTTGTTTGCGAGCGGATTCGTTGACTTGTTATTGGCCTGCAGCTGCATAATTATAACGCCAGGCGGCTGCAGGCCAGTTCGAGACAAAGTCACCGCTGTGGCAGCAGCAAGCAGCAGATGCATAATAATAATCATCATCATCATTATTGTCATCCACATCTCCACATAATCAGTGGAATGGCTTCGGTTACGCTTGTGGTCCGAGAGTGCGAAACGAGAGGAGCAGCATCAGCAGCATAATCAACCGCAACCAGCTAACAGTTAACCGAAGCTCAAGCTAAAACTAAAGCTAACTAAACTAAAGCTAAAAACTCTAAACTAAAAAGCCGGCGCCGCACAATGAAAAACGAGAGTAAAAATCCAAAGCGCAGCCGACGCGCATTGAAATGGAAAATTAAACCTTGTTACATCAGTTGGCCAAAGCAAAATGCAACAAAAACAACAACAGCGATGACAACAACAACAATAACAACAACAGCTGACAAGCAATGCGACGACAAACGTTTGTTGGCAGGATCAACACACACACACGCACAGACACACACACACGCACACTCATTCACTCTCTCGTCTCGCATTTATCTCGAACTCTAACGAGGCAACCTGATACCAAAA